GAAAAAGGAACTAAAGCACGAATAAATTTAGCGCCCCCTGGCGGACAAAATCTGAACTAAATTTTTCTCGAAAAATCAGCGCCATCTGGCGGCGGAAAAAGGAACTAAAGCACGAATAAATTTAGCGCCCCCTGGCGGACAAAGTCTGAACTAAATTTTTTCCGAAAGAACAGCGCCCCCTGGTGGCGAAAATTGGAACTAAATTTTGCACGATTTTTCTCTCTGTGATGCAGAGATATAAGAGATACAAGAAAGGGGTGTAAGAGACGTATGGGTTGCAGGCATATAAAGGATGCGGAGACGTGGGCTGTAAGGGATGTAGGGATGTAAGGAATATAAAGACGTAAAGGATGCAAAGATGTGGATATAAAGGAAGCAGGAATGTAGGGGAGGCCGAGATGTAAGGGATGCAGGGTTGTAAGGAATGCAGAGATGTTAGGGTCGCAGGGATGTAAGGGATACGCAAGGCATGCAAGGAATACGGAAATTATGCAAGGGACACGCAAGGGATGCAATGGATGTACGAAATATGTAAGAGGTGCTAGAAATATGCAAATTTTGTCGGGGATACTCAGAAGATGCAAGGGGTATAAGGGATGCTAAAAAGATGCAAAGGATGTAAAGGAAACTCAAGAGATGCAACGGATGTAAGGAATACTCAAGAGATGCAAAGGATGTAAGTGATACAAAGATGTAGATGATGCAGGACTATAAGGGATATGAGAGTACAGGAATACTGGGTTGTTCCTTATGAGACACATACAAAGGGATCAAATAATAAATATCTGGGAAGGGAGGGCCTTGGCCTATAAAGAAGGATAGAATACTAAACAATTATGAAGGGTGGTTTGAGGCCTATAAGGAGAGATAAAATCATAAATTTCATCTCCCTTTATGACCCTATTCAATGCACTAAGGGTGTAAATGAAGTAAATTAAATAAACTCAGAAAATAATTTAAACGTACGTGTTTGTTTGACTGGTAGATCCGCACGCCTCGGCAGTCGCGATAAGACTGACTAGGACTTACCTCGCTCTAGATGAAACGGCTGACAACGATGCCGGATTGGCTGCAACGTTCCAGCTCACCAACACCGCAGCCGGCTACCTATGTATACGCAAATCAGTGACCACGAATATTTTTTTTTTTTTTTTTTAACGTGGGGAAATCTTGCATAAGACCCCCCACCGTCCCCTGGGGGAGGGCAGTGGGGGAGTGTCAGATTCTTACTGACTAAAACCCCACGACGACCGACACTTGCGCCAAAGGAGGACTCTGGGACCTTATACAGGGTGTTCGACAACAGGTGGGCAAAATTTGAAGGGGTGATTCTAGGGATCAAAATAAGACGAAAATCAAGAATAACGAAATAGCGTTTGCAGCTTTGTTTCCCGTAATTAACGTTTAAAAATTCGTGTAAAAAGCGCCTGAAACCTGCAACCCGCCCAGCACCGACGACTGAACGTCAGGTCAGCAGGGGTAGGTACAGTCATAACCAAGAAGATCAAGAAACAGAATAGTACGAGGTAGGTTTCTACTATTCAACGATTCTTGGTTATGACTGTACCTTCCCCTGCTGACCTGACGTTAAGTCGTCGGTGCTGGGCGGGTTGCAGGTTTCAGGCGCTTTTTACTCGAATTTTTAAACGTTAATTACTGGAAAACGAAGCCGCAAACGCTATTTCGTTATTCTTGATTTTCGTCTTATTTTGATCCCTAGAATCACCCCTTAAAATTTTGCCCACCTATTGTCGAACACCCTGTTTATGTTATTCCGGAACCCTCCACCCCTGGCACACTGGTGCCCATCTCGGGCGCCTAACATGTGGCCGACACCGGGGGTCGCACCCAGTGCCGGCTTTCCTCGAGCCGCGTGCAAGGGCGCCAGGAGCCCCCACTCCCGACGCCAACGGCCCTGATGACCCCACCAGTTTTGATGGTGAAGCCGTGATATCGAGTGCTGAGGAAAGGACTGGATCACCCTCTCCTTGTTTGTCTTCTCCACTCTGTCCGTGCTGGGGGTGGCTGTCCTGGCATTTAACATGTTTTCACGGAATTATTTAAGTTTGAAGCAGAAAAATAATTGTTAACTTTGATGACCTGTATCTTACGAGCAGATCTAGTTACATGAATGAGAAAAATGTAAATTAAAGAACGAACTGTTAATGTCAGCTTTAACAGTAAATTATCAGATATCATAAACACGCTCTTATTATATTTGATTTTACAATAAAAATTTGCGCAAAGTGGTGTTCTCCTAATTTTGCGTTGGAGTGTAGTATAAAAATATTGTGATGACCTATTGTTCATTTCAGAAGTATGAGTCACGTAATTATTCATGAAGGAATGTTGAATTTCAACAGACTATGCAAATTACCCCTTCACCTGTCTTCATCAACGATGTACAGGGCTCTGCAACGTGTCGATTGAATCATCAAGCTGATAGTAGAAGGAAATCGATGTCCAGACCACGATAAATTCGCCTGACTCGGTTTGAAACTCCGTGAGCAATTCGAATTGATAAATGACTTGTGATAGGACTATGCTCGCATACATACATATATCTAGTTTGCATTACGTTTAACGAGCCTCCATTCAATCTATCGTCTGACGAAATTGCGATGGATTTGACATGTTGGTTATTATAAAAGTTTTAAAAGATTTTCAACTTCCTATCGCATCAGTGTGAAAAGCTCCTTGATTTTTGTGGTGCTCCTTCGTTCTCTAGCTTTCGAAGAATTGAATTCCATGGCTTGAAAAGTATTTGGGAATTGGTGAATTTATGAATTGGCGGATTTCATTATTTTTAAGTTCCAAAGTTCTTAATATTCTAATTCCTAAATTCCCAAATCTCCAAATATCCAAATTCGCAAGTACCCATATTCCCAAATTTCTAAGCTTTTAAATTCTCAAATTCTCAAATATCTAAATTTCCAAATTCTGAAATTCCTAAATTCCCAAATTCATAAACATCTAAATTCCTAAAATCCTGTTTCTAAATTCTCAAATTCCTAAATCCCCAAATCTCCAAATTTCCAAATTCACAAGTACCCAAATTCCCAAATTTCTAAGCTTTTAAATTCTCAAATTCTCAAATATCTAAATTTCCAAATTTCCAAATTTTCAAATTCCTAAATTCCCAAATTCATAAACATCTAAATTCACAAATCCTATCTTTCTAAATTCTCAAATTCCTAAATCCCCAAATCCCCAAATCCCTAATTCCTCAATTCTCCAAGGCTCCAAATTCTCAAATACCTAAATTTGTAAATTTCCAAATTTATTTATAAATCGATCGATTGTATTATATTGTAAAGCTTCGAATACTCAATAAATCGATTGAAAGAAACTAATTGCATTTGTTTAATAAGAAAACATCCTTCACCGTCTTTATCTTTCATCAATGAACCACAAATATCTAGAAATATTTTCCAATCACGATGACGACACATTTGTTCATTCCACGAACCGCCTTCCGGTAGTCAATTAAATAAATTGGATCCTGGAAAGCACTTTCCCGCGAGTTTCACCTCCAAACGAGGGGATGGTGGTTGCGGTCTACCTTCAAATGGCGTAGCCCTCTTCCTTTCTTCACGAGCTGCAAGGATATGATCTCTTCTTTATCCGCAATTATCGGTTTTATTGTTTGCACTGACGTATCCAGGATTTTCTACTTCAGAATCGAGGGTAAAAAGCATCGAAGCTACGCGTAATGCTCAGAAGTCGTGAGCAAATTGAATAATAATGACTAATTAATCAATACTCTTCCCAGGTCTAAAATTTTTATCATATAACATAATAATTATAGAAAATTAATTTAAATTCCTTTCTTATTTTAATTAAAAATTAAATTAAATATAAATCACCCATGTTCCACCCAAGATAATTAAAATTTCTTAAAAATATAAATTACAATTAACCCACCTAACAAATATGAATTTTCTTTTTTATTTTGGAAACATTTCCTTTAATATTCAACTCGCGTCGCGAGAAAAACGAAATCCAAGCGGAAATTTAATGTCTTGGAAGAGGAAGTTGATGAAATAAATACCCAAACGGGTATCCGATTGTCGATAAAATTTCAAGAACATTCAGACCCACGAATTCGAAACTATCCGGGCTAAATAGAAGAAAAGAATCGTGGGGAAACGGAGCTCTCGAATCGACGTCAACGACGTCTTTATCGAAGCCTTTAAAGCTGTGTTCTCCGAGCTGAAACGAGCCCTGATAATTGGACCAGCGAATCGTTTCGACGAGCAATTTTTTTCAAAAGAACGAAACCTTTTTATTCTTTCACCAAGGAACTGCACAGCCAGAAACGACTACGCCTCGTTGAGATCTTTGTACCGGACAGAGTTCGTGGAAAATTAGATAAAATGGTTTTATTAACTACCCATCGACAGGGAATTGATAATTAGTTGATTATCAATTTCATTATCTTCCTTTGTGTCACTGATTTCAATGAACATTTTCGTTTCGTTGAAGATTTAATGGTTTTTCATTTGGCGGACCATGGAGAAAGCCTCAATCTTAATTTATTATTCTCATTATCTTTATGCTATTCTTTCAGAAATTATTCTTCTAATATATGAGACTTTTATTTAAAAATTATTTATTTAACTTTAGGTCAATATCCTTGTATATATTTTATAAGTTTGGGACACGATTGACCCAGGCTCTGCTGCTCAAGTATCAATAAACCTTTCAAGATACATAATCTGCCCCATCAAACTTTCAAATAAAAAAACATTATAAAAATTCTACTTAAAATTGAATTAACTGTCTAGACCTTAAATATATCCTTCTTGCACCCCCGAAAAAAGATACAAAACCATTTTAAAGAGGATCGAAGCAATGAACGTTCGGACCACTGGAATAGCCAAAGTGTCTTTCCAGGGTGGGGGATGGGTGACTAAGGGTGGCACGTATGGCTGCGCAGGGTACGTAAGGTGCAGAAGATCCCGGTGCTGCCACCAGGCTGGCAGAGGGTGGTGGAAAGCGGGAAAGCAACGAATATCCAGTTTACTTGCGGCCTCGCAGGCCGTTCGAACGACGAGCGGTCGCGTCCCACTTCTTTCCATCGGTTTCCCATCGCGATGTAAACAGAGGGACTTCAACAAAAATCGAGTATAATCTTCTTATCTTCTACAAACTTCCTGGGTCTAAAGCGACCCGGATCGATCAGAACGATTAATCGATACCTGATGTTATCTGCACGTGGCCCTCCCTGAAATTGAGGATTGTTAACCCATAAAGTGGCCCAGATTTCACTTCCTTCGATGGTTAAGAAGATCAAGATTTTGGATGAATAATTAAAATTAAGATCCATACTCTGCAGTGTTATTAAAAAAAAAAATTGTTAAGTGAATATTTAAAATGATCAACAATCTATATTTTGGACTAATGAGATTCATCGTTTAATTAGTGATTGCATCTATTTTTGAAGTAAGAGATATGAAACTTCAAGATTTTTTGAAAAAAAGAAAATCAAAGACAGTCTTCTGGTGTTCAAGAATTAACAGTTTCTGTATCGTGGACGAAGATGTTAGGTAAATGTTCACCTTTGGGTGCTATGGGTGCTGGTTCCTTTGGGTGACACTGGTTACTGCGTTGGACTTTGAAAAATGTTCTGACCAGTGTTAATTAAACGTGTTTAATTATAATTCCTCTAATTGGATACAATGGTAAACTGAAGTGAAAGTTGCAAACTAATTGCGCTAATGATCAGTGTTAATTACAGTACCTCTGGAAATGAATGGTTTTCAATTGTCTCCCTCGACCAATGCGAGGTCAATTGTAAATATTTGATGAATTTTGAAGAAATGCGAGCTTCCAGAAGAAGAATTATTTATTGAACGAACTGAAATAATGTAATTACCTTTTTATGGCAATCGATTAATCCTATCAAGGTGCTTTGGAAAATAGTGTCATCTCTGAAGAATTTTCGAAAAAGTGTCGAGATGTGGAAAATTGAAGAATCAGTGAGTTGATTGTAAATTGAACAGATAAAATCGTGTAGGATGATTATGGCTTTAAGTTTCGATATGATAATGGAAAGGTGTAGCCGGTCGGGAACCATCGCACCTGTGGAACCTTGAGGTAAATTGTTCACCTTTGCATACACCGAGTATTATTCGATTCTCGTTGAATATTGCATTCCCTTGGGCATAGTTGGCTAGTTTGAATGCTTTCGTTACTTGAATTTGCAAGTTGCAACGGTTGCTCTCGACCGATGAAAAGTTTTCTTCAGGTAGCCGAAGTTTGGCAATTTTGAATAATGCATTTTAGATTTTCATGAAACCCAGAGGGTGGTTGTAAAAATGTTGAGTAAAAGTTTTTATGTGGATTGTTGAAAGAAGGTATATTCCTTGTGGTAAATGAAATTTGCAAACCGTTTGAAAATTTCATAAATTTAATCAATTTCATCGTTTTCATTTAAGGCTTATTGTTAGTAATTGTTTAAATAAAAAATGCAATTTCTCACGTTTTTAGAGAAATGACGAATAAACTTGTGAATTTTCAAAATCATCAATTCAACTTTATTTCAAATTTTTCTAAATCCCAATTATCTTTCCGGTTATTTCTTCCATTTTTCTTTCACTTCCGGTTAAAATATTTCAACATTCATCTTCATTATCAAATTTTCTTAAAGTACAAAATCAAATAATTTTTATTTCAAGCTTTTGTTAGCAATTTTTCAAGTATAAAAATTCAAGTCAATTAAGTAAATTGGAAAATTTGCAAATAGAGATATTTAATTTCACTTAAAATTTTTCCAATTTCCTAATTTTACTTAATTAACATTCTTTCCTAATTAATTCAGTAACAATGCATCGTTACTTCTATTTTCTTTCTACTTCCGGTAAAAATATTTCACTATCCATCTTCATCACCGAGTTCACGTAGTAAAAATATTTCAACGAATCGAACAAAGGGAAAGCACTGTATTTGGAGAGAAGAAAAGAAAGATATAAGCAAGGGCGAAGCTCAGGTGCGCGAAAATCCTGAGAAAATAAAATGAAAGCACGTTCGATGTTATTCGCAGTCGACATATGCGAGAAAGAAGAACGCGTTACAAGTCAGACGAATGTCGTTTCGACATGGATGTCTTACTTCCTTCGCTGCTTTTTCGATTTTACTGTCGGTGTTCCGGGAACAAACTACTAGTAGTGCGACTCAACCATATGCCCTACGGACTTCTCTCGTCAGTAGTAATGGAAGAGCTTTTATGGCGCAGTAATTCGATAAGGAGGAACGTGTATAAGAAAATACTTCAAAGAAAATGCATGTCCTTTTCCTACGAATATTTCAGATATTTATTTTCATGATAAATATGAATTTATATTGTTGTTGGTTTCTTTAAGATTTTTATTTTGTGTCATTTTATTTTACTTGAAGGAAAAGAATTCTTGAAAGGAAAAGTGTGCCCTTTTCCTACAAATATTTCAGATATTTATTGTCATTATAAATATGAATTGATACTGTTGTTGGTCTTTAAAAATTTTGAAAGAAAAAGCCTATCCTTTTTTCAAGAAGATTTCAGATATTTATTTCCATGATAAATATGGATTTATGTTATTGTTGAATTTAAAAAAATTTTTTATTCTATGTAATTTTATTTTACTTTAGATTCATTTGTTCAAATTTACCTTATATGCTCTTTCACATAAATGGTAAAATCAGTTTTGTATAAAATAATAAATGAAACTTAAAATATTTCAAAAAGTTCAATTGAAAAATTGAAAAATAGATGCAAATAAATTAATGTCAAAGAAAAATAGACCAATACTCTAAAATTTCTATTATATAAGGTGATAAAAAAATAGAGTATGAATGGAGTAAAAATTGTTTAATTAACATAGGTCCAAAAATTAATCCTTTCTCTGTAAAATCAACATTTATTGTTTTTTAACTTTTTTATTTCATAGTTATGATATGGAACAGTAATAATAAGTAATCTTTGCTTATATTAGTACATTATAAATTTGTATTTACAGTCTTTAACTAAACCTTACTTGTTAAAAAATAAAAAATTTTACAGAGAATAGGTCAATATTAAAACCTATGTTAATTAAACATTTTTTATCCCATTCAATAAGTACTCTAAGCTCTATAAATAATGGACCATATTTTTTAATCGCCCTGTATAAAAATTTCACTCATTTGGAAGATAATTTACAACAAAAGAAATTAAAAAAACTAGTGAATCTCATTGTAACGAAACTCGGTTAAAAAGTTGAATTCATTTCATAAAACAAATGTAAAAGAATCCTACATCCCACCAAAGCTTTGAAGATTATCCTCGAAATGTGTTTAAACTCTCGCTTAATTTTCTCCAGAGAAGAGTATCTTTTTTATTTTCTTATAATATCTCTGGTATTAAACGATATTTTTATAAAAGGTGTCGTTCGAACGGAACGATATTTTCATTTTCATATCTGTCTCATTTTTTTTATGGAAAATGAAAATCCGTGGAAAATTCATAATTTTCCAGGAATTCGCGTTCGTTAAGCGTTCGATTAAACGGCGACGATTTAATTTGTCGCCATGTAATTGGCTTCGTTAATGAGATTCAACAACGAAATAGAATTTATGAATAAATTTTCGGTCGCGATTATCTTGCTAGGATTAGCCATAACAGCATCGCAAATGGTTTCCACAACGGTTTCGAGGCTTTTGTTCGGGACCAGGCATTGATCGCTTGTTTCACGAGTGTCAAAACGCATAATTGCGAATGCTGTTTCATACGAATACGAGATTTGTTCCATTGGAAACGTTGCTCGATCAATTAAACTGTTAACGTAGTGATTTTTCACAGAATGAAACACCTATTCCCTTCCTTTTTGCGTTCAAGGTCAATTTGATATTAAAATTAAGAATTTGTACAAATTATTTATACTAAATTCAGAAAAATTAGGGTGATCCAATAACCTGGGCCCTGACTATACAATTATCTGTTCCAATAACTTCCTCGTTCCACGCTTATTAAACTGTCAATCACGATAATTAGTAATAAAAATAATTAAAGGGTTAGTTATTTTTACTAATTTTACAGGAACTAAGAAAAACTCTTTTTGAATATATAATCAAGTCTCGATTTCTACAAAAAATAGAGCAGCCTGGGTCTTATGTTAATTTTCTAAATTTCACACTATCGCTTTAAAAATTATTCTTCTATTTAAAAATGATACATTTTGCTATTTTTTCCCTAAAAGAATAAGAAATATAATATAATTCGTTTTTTAACCCTCGGACAGCGGACCATGGAGAGGGCCATAATTCCAATTTAATTCTACAATTCATATTATTTTCGTTTTCTAAATTTATATTATCCTATCAACAATTATTATTTAGCTTAAAAATGATACATTTCATTATTTTTTCTTCTTCTATAAGAAATGAAACAGTCATAATTATTTTTGCCCAGGGTATCCATCTTACCCCACCCTTTCCTATAAATATTTACACATCACTCAAAGTTACATCCTTTCCACACCTCCAAGTATTTATATTCAATCAAATTTTCATCGCGAACTTCGAAAACGTTTCATAAAACCAGATCCTTTGTCTCTTCCAGACCGCCAGTATGTTCGAACAGCGAACAAAGATGCAGCTGGTCTCGACCACCCCCCAGAAGCGTGGGCCGAATGAAAATCCATCCGGGAATCAACTCTCCTAGAGTATCTCCAAACAAACCTCTCCAGAATCTCGAATCGACTCGAAACTCGTATAAACTCAACCGGGCCGACGAATCCAACCCGATTCACTTTTACCCCATGAAACCATATTTCGCGTCCTCGCGGTGAAACCCAGCTTCGTTTCGATGGCCATTAGAGAATTTATCGACGTCGTCGTCGAAGAAGCGGAAGAAGGCGAGGAACGACGTCACAAACCACGGTAACGAAACAAAGAAAATCATTGAAATAAACGAACGCTATGGAGCTGAACGAAACGATGGATCAAGATCCAGCCAACTCCACCGATCTATCGGATCTAAAAATTCTCATCGATACCGGTCAATCGAATCGTTCGAACGACTTCTACGACCTGAAGAGACACGATCTCGAATATGTCCTCCTGTTAACCCTGAAGGCTACCGTGATGGCCTTCATAATCATCTGTGCCCTGTTCGGTAATTTGCTGGTGATAGTGTCGGTGATGAGGCATCGGAAGCTTCGAGTAATTACCAATTACTTCGTGGTCTCGTTAGCGTTGGCCGACATGCTGGTCGCCATTTTTGCGATGACCTTCAACGCTTCCGTCGAACTGTCCGGTAGGTGGTTGTTCGGCTACTACATGTGCGACGTGTGGAACTCGTTGGACGTGTTCTTCAGCACCGTCTCTATACTTCATCTATGTTGCATCAGCGTCGATCGGTACTACGCGATCGTCCAACCGTTGGACTATCCGCTGATCATGACGAATTTACGGCTGAGCACCATGCTGAGCGTGGTCTGGTGTTCGCCGACGGTGATGAGCTTCTTGCCCATCTTCGCCGGCTGGTACACCACCGAGGAACACCTCCAGTTCCGTAGGAAGTACCCGGACGTGTGCGTGTTCCAAGTGAACAAACTGTACGCGATAATCAGCTCCAGTGTCAGCTTCTGGCTACCCGGGATCATCATGATCGCGATGTACTACAAGATCTACAGGGAGGCTGATCGACAGGAGCGGATGTTGTATCGGTGAGTCTGTGTTTATTAATTTAGCTTTCAGGAGGTCGTTATAAAAATTTTTTTCGAGGGGAAATGATCTGGGAAAATACAAGATGGGCTGGAAATCGTAGTAGAAGCGGGTAAGGAAAAAAGAAGAAAATATTTTGGTATAACATTTTATCATACAAGGCTCCGTTTCTGAGAAAATCGACGTCAAAGTTTGTTCAATTTGTAAACGATTTACAATTATTAATGAAACTTTGCCACCTTGTAGAGCTCGTCGAACTGGACACGCCTAAATAATTAATAATTAAAGTTAGTTACCCCTTCCATTGAGAATTATGACAAACGGTTAGGTCCCCGGTTAAACACATGATTCGCAAACTAAAGATCCAGGGTTCAAATCCTCGGTTCTCAACAATTTTTTTTTTTTTTTTTTTTATAAATAGTAATTTGTCTCCTTTTGAATAACTATTGTTATTATTATAATTAATAATTAATTACATACGCCGCAATTTTTATCGAGTTTAAGTTATGTTTTCTATCCAGTACATTACCATCCTTACCGCATTCAAAATTTACACACGTTTATTTGTTATTACACAAATAATTGTAAATCGATACAAATACCCCTCTGAATATGACATAGCAATTCACTATCCAAAGATTTCTTCAAAGTAGGGGTGATGGAATTTGGATTTGAATCTAGATTTTTGGGGTTCAAGGCTGATCCTCATTTATTTACTATGACACTGCATTTCGCTATCGCAAAATCTGCAATCGGACCAAGGTTTTAGGAGTTTCGAATTGAGTCTTACTTATTCAGTGCGACATGCCATTTCACTATCGCAGGATCAATGGAAAACTGGAGTGACGAGATCTTGATACGAACTTAACTTTCCAACGTGTCAGTCCGTAGTATTTATAAATAAAAGAGCGATGATGGGATCTAGACTCGAGTTTACATTTCTAAGGTTTCAAGTTAGTCTTCGTTTGTTTACCATGACGAACTATCCTATCAATGTTTCTAATAAAATAATAACTTTCTTGTTATTTAATTTATGATTTAAATATGTAGTCTCGTGATATGGCAAAGAATTAAGTGATAAAATAGTGCTTCGCAATCAGCTCTATTAAATATCCTCAATAATTCACTGATTACTGCACTTCGATGCTCCATCGTATTAATTATTTAAGCTTGCAATTATGGGGAAAGCTTCACCCTATATTCTGATTTCAGGAGCTCAAACACTTGATCAGAATCATTTTAGTGCTTTGATTGTAAACTGTGCATCGTCGTACAATATTCTGTTTTTAATTTAATTTTCAAAATAAAACAAAATTGTGTGCTTATTTTTGTCGCTTTTTAACCCTTGGATGGTGGACCATGGAGAAAGATTCAATTTAAATTTAATTTTTCTTTTTCTAAATTGCACATTGTTGCTTTAAAAATTATTTTCCATACGTACGAAACCCTTTTGTTTAAAAATTATACATTCAACTTTAGGTTAATATCCTTGTTTGGGTCTCGATTGACCCAGTGTTTCAGGGTCGAAAGATATAAAGCTCTTCCTGTTTCATTTATCTCGAGAATGGAAAAATGTTCGAACGAGACGATCGTTTCCTGATGCTCGATGACACTTTGCCCCGGAAATACATGAATGTTGATTCTTTATTCTAGTCGATCGACAACCACCGGAAATTGGATACGTCGACGACGTACGGAAATCGTTGACGCGTACGCGACTTGAATACACCTTTCTTTCCTTTTTATAGTAAGATTAATGCTCTCCCATGCACGCTTCAGAACGTTTATGTGTTTTCTATGAGGTGATGTTGGGAAAAGGATATTCCTCGAGGAGGATGCTTCGAGTACCTTATTCGAATCGATCTTATGAATTATTCTCTCAATATTTTTACATAAATGATTCTTTGAAGAGTACGTTTTGGAAGAGCCTCTGTAAGACTCCTGTGAATAAATTTTTTAAGATAATAGCAAGATAATATTTAATTAATAGGGTAATGTATACAGTTGACCTCTGTACAATGATTGATCCTTTTCATAAAAAAAAAGAAATATAATATTTTTTCTTTTCTTTTTATTCCTAAAATAATAATAGAGTCGTACCTATGGGCACTTTAACCCCTTCACCGACTAATGATTGAAGTGTACTCATGCATATGCATGAGAACTGGTGTTACTTAAATTAAGTAAAGGGCACAAACAGTGCAGACACGAACTAAGAAAACAAAGGAAAAAGAAAACAATGCAAAACAAAATATTTAAAAAAAAGAAATATAATATAATGCGTTTCTTAACCGTCGCGTCGGACGGCGGACCATGGAGAGAGCCTCAATTTTATTTTCTAAATTTTACATTGTTCCTTTTGAAATTATTCAACAGAAGATTATTCAATAGAATTATGGTTTGTTATTTAAGAAACTCATTTTATTATATTTTTTTATTGTTTTAGCAAAGGGGTAACTGTGTCTTATCCTACATGATTTTTTATTATTTTACTCCACGATTTTCTTTATTGTTATTTGCTATATGTCCTTGATATACAGCCTTCAATACCTTCAGTAATTTATTTTTATTTAATTCTTACACTTTTACCTGGATCGAGTAGAAAAGGATCTTTATGGTCAGACATTCAATCAAATGAAATGATTGAAAATCGAAATGTAAAATAAATTTTCATTAACTAGAATACTTTGAAGAATTCTAAATTTGTTCCTCTACTAATTTAACAACATTCAATTTCAGAAAAATTGTATTTTACAGCTACACGTGACTGTAACTTGTTATTTCATTTCGTAAAAGCATCTGACCCAGTTCTAATTAAAAATTACACCGAACACGTTCGCTGCTTTTTTTCGCAGCGACAAAGAAAGGGTCGGAACAAAAAAAGAGCGGTTTGCTTTTTAGCGAACTACTTCGTGTCGAGACACGAGTCGGATAAAAAGCAAAAATCGTAGCCAACTGCGAGAACCTGGTAATTATTGGGACGTTCACTTCGCAAAACGTTTAGTGCACTCAGCTGGCATCGGAACAACAATTCGCAATTCCATTTGCCCGGCTCAAGCTAAAGTGAACACAAAACACGAATGAAAAGAGAAAAAAAAGAAACGGGAAGAGCATGATCGTAAATCTTCTCGCGTTTCGTTGGTCAATTTTCATCCTCGTTTCGAAATGCCAAACGAAATCGGGTAAATGGGTACGATTCCTTTTTTTTATTGCAGTGAGATGAAATTCCCGAATTTCCAAATTACCAAAGTACCAACTGGTCAAACTCTTAAATTCCCAAATTTCGATGTTTTCAAATTTCTACATTCTCAAATTACCAAATTGCCAAATTCTCAAATATTCAAATTTCTAAATATCCAAATTCCCAAATAACTAAATATCCAAATTTAAAATTCTCAAATTTTCAAATCCCCAAATTTTCAAATCCCCAAATTTCCAAATATCTAAATCACCAAATCTCCATATTCCCAAATTTCCAAATATTTAAATTCCCAAATTCTCAGATTCCCATATTTTCACATTTCTAAATTTCAGAATTCCAAAATTCCAAAAATATTTCAACGATAGTCTATTACCCACGAACAGCTCAATGGAAGGTCGCTTTAAAGGGTGGAAATGAGAGCTATCGAAAAATCTCTCATGTAAATATAGCCCGGAGCTATTCTGGTGTTAATAGCCACCATGGCGAATATCGAGGGTTAAAATGACCAAAGGGAATGCCACTGAGACCAATAGATACGATCAAATTCTAGGATGTCTCCTCGAATTACCGATCGACTTTCGTGTATTTTTTTTTTTTATTTTCTCCCCCTGGTTCAACCCTCTAATACTTTGATCTCCCCTCCGGTTGAAAGGGTACGACTCTCGTGGGAGAAGTTTTGTTTCTTTTTCGGTCGAAATTGATAGAAGATGAAATTCGAGGTGGTGGGTTTATCGGGTGATAAATGTCCTCTCACGATCAACGATGACAAATTGCTGTTCGTTAGCTTGGGTTGTTAAATTTCGGGTTAGTATTAGTATAATAAATCCGATACTTATCACAGTAGCGTAACTAAGATTAGTTGTTTCCCCTATTAGAAAGTAAAAGAAATTTTCTTCACTGTTAGTATTCGAATAATAAATCCAATACTCATCACAGTAGCGTAACTAGGATTAGTTCACCCGCTATTAAAAAATTAAGAAATAAATTTCTTCACTGCAAGTATTCGAATACTAAATTCAATACTTATCACAGTAGCGTAACTAGGAGTAGTTGACCCCCCTATTAGAAAATAAAAGAAATTTTCTTCACTGTTAGTATTCAAATAATAAATACTGTGATAAAAATTTATCACAGTAGCGTAACTGTGGTCAGTTTAATCTTCTGTTTAAAAATAAAAAAAATATTCTTCACCACGAATATTGGAATAATAATTCCGATACATATTATTACAATAGCGTAACTAGGATTAGTTGACCTCCCTATTAGAAAATAAAAGAAATTTTCTTCACTGCCAGTATTCGAATAATAAATCTAATACTTATCACAGTAGCGTAATTAGGATTAGTTCACACCCTTTTAAAAAATTTTCTTCACCAATATTTGAATGATAAATCCTATATTTATCACAGTAGCGTATTTAGAATTAGTTGAACACTCTGTTAGAAAATAAAAAAATGTTCTTATCGGACAATTATGGCTGTGCCATTGATCGAACAATAATTTTTCATATATTACATAAAAGTTCATTTTATGAAATTGATATTTTCTTTTGCAGAATTTCTATCAAAGCATGTTCTATTTGATCAGAGCTGCGTTAAACCGGAAATACTATACGATCCTTGTAACGCTAGCTGAGCCAGTAAATTATGTCTAGCATCGCGTTTCAAGAGTAGAAATTGTGTAGAATTGAACTGTCGATCCGAATCATGTGGCATTCAATTACAGCTCGGTGCAAGTTACTTTTCCCCTGGATGGAAGGAATAAAAATTCCTTTGGAATTGTGGCTGGTAACACGATATC